TCAGAAGTTTGATATTCTATGTTTGTTATTTTGTCTGGGGGGACTTCATAACAAGATCAAACAACTGTATGGGCAGCAAGGTCTATAGGAAATTTTTTCTTGTTGTAGCACTCATCCCATATTGGTTACGGTTTGCTCAGGTAATTGCATTGTTGGATTTTGTCTCATTTAGCCTGAAGTAATACTGCTGCTTCTCTTCAATTCATGTTTCATCTCATGCTTTATTCACTTCATTTTTTCTTTTATCTTTCTAATCTCATATTTTTTGTAAATTTCAGTGCTTACGTCGCTTGCTTGAAGAAAAAGATAAAAGGCATTTGTTTAATGGCTTAAAGTATTTCTCAACAATCCTTGCAGTTGCCATGAGAACAATTTTTGACTTAAAGGGGCCTTCTTGGCTGATCTTGGCTACAGCCACTTCAGCTATAGCAACAATTTTTAACACATATTGGGACATTGTTATAGATTGGGGTCTACTAAGAAGGAATTCAAAAAATCCTTGGTTGAGAGATAAACTCATCATACCAAATCGAAGTGTTTACTTCATAGCTATGGTACGGAGATGTACACTGGTTTAAGGAGAACCTACTGCATGTATTACTATGCAGTTGGCTGCTAACTAATATTAGCTATTACTTTCTTTTTTTTTTTAATTTAACAATATTTTGCTTTGAGTTGCAGGTAGCAAACAGTTTGTTAAGACTTGCTTGGATGCAAATAGTGTTTGGCATTAGGGATGCACCTTTCATGCATGAAACAGCAATGATTGCATTAATTGCCAGCTTAGAGATCATTCGTCGTGGCATTTGGAATTTCTTCAGGTAATCTTATGCTCCTCTTTAGTCATCGATCTCTTCTACTTTGCTGCTAATTATGAATAGATACTTGACTGGAATTGGAAGTTAAATCAAAGATTTCCACTTCCCTCATGAAATCATATTAGAGGTTGAGTTGTTCGTTGATTGATATGAGCCTCAGAAAAAACCCATCAAAACCACACAAGAATTACACAATAAGCACCCAATAACACACACAATAACACCATTTTTTTGTCAAAATCTACTGAACTAGAATAAATCATCCTGCAAATGGAAAACAGCCTTCCACTTATGTGTTTACCAGATCTAGGATCCCTTGCTTTATCTAACAAAGACTTGACTTTTCAATCATGATCAGATTGGAGAATGAGCATCTAAACAATGTGGGCAAGTATCGAGCATTTAAGTCTGTGCCGCTACCTTTTCACTATGAGTAATGGAGACGGGTGTAGAATACATACACATGGTACAGAAGGGAATAGAAGATGAAATCTTGTCAGTATCCATATATGCAGAGAGAACATCCTTCCCAGTCCTTACCAGTCCCATGTAATATTTCTTTATCTATTCCTTATTAATTAGTGTTGATTATTTCATTCATTTAAAACACAAATTTGTTATGCACAGAACTTATAGTTCTAGTAGCAAACATATAAATAACAGCCCTATGGGATATTGAAAACAAGTCCCTTGTACTGTACAAAGAGTTTGTAGTTGATAGTTTGTTTTCCATGAATGTTATAAATGAAAGATCATTGTTCTTCAGCAAAGTAGATTCAACACTAGATCTTTTTAAGTACTCGCTCGCTGATAAACAAACGTTAAATCTCTATATTACCCACCTTTTTACGCGGTACATTGCATGCCACGTTAGTTAAGACGGTCTTAACATCTAGTAATTTTGGAACTTTAAAACTTTGATACTCTTACAATTATCACAACTTATGTCTTTGAAAGTAATAGATTATTGGTTTTGTCAAAGGAAAGAGATATTGCTCCTACAAGAACTGTTAGGAGAAAATTATTCTAAAATATCAAGACCATTTTCAACATTTGCTCTGTCTCTATGACTATAATAGAGTCTCATTCTTAGAAATCAAGAACTAGAAACACTCTAAGCTTCCGATCTAAAATCAATTAGACAAGAGAATGATAAGAACGCCCAAAACTTTTTGGAAAGGATTTGCTATCACAAGAAGTATAGTCTAAAGGGGTTTTAACTTATTTCCCACAATCTTTTCTTTTTAGATTATTTCATTTTTATTCATTTGCTTTAGTATTCAATTTAATTTAATTCTCTATGTTGTTTGCACAAACGGAATCCATTGTGAGGGATGCGGAGTACCTCTTGCCTTTACAAAGTCTAAGCCATACTGCAACTTTAACAAACAAAAAAAAAAACTCTTATTAAGGAACCTTTACACATTTGTTTGGACCCAAAACGCGTGAAAACCAAGTATATATATATATATATATATATATATATATATATAGGTTTCAAGTGCGTAATAGGAACAGTCACTTGCTTAATTTACTGTCACCTAATAAATTTACCAAGGGCGTAAGAGTCCATTAACGGGCAGGAACCAAAATAAAAATTCTTCTAAGGCTAGAAATATCAAATTTTCAATTATTGCAAATTCAAGATACTTTAAAGGTACTAAATCTTAAAAAAATGGTTAAATTTATAGTGAAACCACTAAACCCATTCCATTACTTCCTTACTTTGTGTAAGTGAACTTACAATTAAGGCTTGTTTGTCTTGTTTATAATAGATTTCTAATGGATTATTGAAAGGTTTTCTTCCTTTCTTTCTTTTTTTCTTTTATTCATCCAATGGTTTATTTTGGCATAGTTTTTAATTTTTAACCATTGTTTTCTTGTTTTGATGTATTGGGCCTTTTATATAAATCTATATTAATTTCTTTTATATATATATATATATTATTTGGCAGCCGACAGAAATAAATTGTTGTGCATCACACTATTGCTGGAATCCCCACGTACATATATATATATTTACATATGTATATGTATATATTGAATATGGGCATTCCAGCGCAATGTATAACTTGAGGTTTTGACTAAAGATAGTTAGAGTGGATGATGAGCGCGTATGATTTTTGGGAATAATTTCCGGTTTTGTAGGCCTACCAGCCTCATTTTTATTTCAAAAATTTTGCAATAAAACAAAATCTAGCTGCCTGCTGCAATGTATTTGTAAAATTAACCCAAAAATTTTGGTAACTTCCAAACAACCCACCAAAATGGTTTCTCCAAATTGCATTGCTTTTGACTCTGACTCGATTCAATTCCATCACCTGCATTCAAAATTTCTTAGCTTTTTGATGAACAAAGATGAAGTTTGGAAAAGAGTTTACTGCACAGATGGTGCAGGAATGGCAAGACGCCTACACAGACTACAATGGTTTGAAGAAACTCCTGAAAGATATATTGCATTTCAGACCGCAAAATGAACCGCCGTCAATGGCGGTAGTCAGCCCAATGGATGGATTGAAAAGAAGGGTTTCTTTGTACAGAGCGTTTAGTGGACTAACCAGTCGGTACATGGGGCCTCCATTGAAGAATGAAGAGGAAGTGATACTGGTACATCATAATCAAGAAGAAGATGAATCATCGCCGGGGCATTACCAGACTTCTTTCCTCAGGTCATCTGATGAAGGAGGAGAGTATGAGCTTCTATTTTTTAAGAGGTTAGATGCTGAGTTCAATAAAGTGCTTAAGTTCTATAAGAAGAATGTGGAGGAAGTGATTGTGGAGGCTGATGAGTGACTAAGCAAATGAATGTTTTAATTGCTCTCGGATTAAGGTCATAATCCTTTGTAGGAAGCGATCCTTTGGTAGATCTGCAGCCTCTAATGGAGTTTCTGGATCATCACCCTCAACTTTGCCTACCAATAATGCCAGAAAACCAAAGTAGGAATTTCTGGTTTCCATTTATTTTCTCAGTTTGAAAGAATAAATGGAAAAATGGAATTGCCCATCAAGCCTTATTAAGAGATGTAATCCCAAGTCAAACAAGTACCATGATCAATAAAAAAATTTCTTTCTAAAATTACATGATTTTGGGTTAAAATCTAAAAATACTGTAACATATGTCGTAAAGTACTATAACATATGTTCTAAAAGTCCATCTGCTTGTATTTTGTAGGAATGGATGTGATTCAAGAAGTTGACACAAGCGCTGAAATGAATTCAGAATCAGATGATGAAAAAGAATGCGACGATAAAAGTAATTCCAATTGCCAAAAGAAGGGTACTCCAGGATTTATACCACCACCGTTACAGGTTCTGGATCGTGTACAGATCAAGATTGAGCCTGAAACGCCATTCTTAACATTACAAACTTTACTGTTGGGCTTAAAAGCAAAGAATTCATTCAGCAAAAAGGAGCTAAAGAAAGCAGAAGAATTGATGTCACAAGCCATGGTTGAGTTCTACCAAAAGCTCCGTCTCTTGAAAAGTTACTGGTATAATGTAACTTCTTTATTTTTGTCCTTTAGCATTAGAAGTGATATGAAAATCTCAGGTTTTGCAATTCAGGATGACTAACCATACGGCTTATCTATATAACAGTTTCTTGAATCAATTAGCCTTCTCCAAAATCATGAAGAAATATGACAAGGTCTGTTTGCTAATTACCCCACAATCAACTTAAATTGCAGTTTTCTTTTTAACTCAAATTAACTTTCTTCTATTCTTGCAGATCACGTTGTGGAATGCTTCAAAGGCTTACATGCGGACAGTGGACAATTCTTATCTTGGCAGCTCTGATGAGGTGAAATTACACTAATGAGAATCTAATTGTGAAACTAGAAATAATTGGTTCCTCTAACTAGAATTTTCTTTAACATCATCATCACAGGTTGCTAAGCTTATGGTACGAGTTGAAGCTACTTTTATAAAGCACTTTGCGAATGGAAATCATAGAAGAGGAATGAAAATTCTGAGACCAAAAGCTAAAAAGGAAAGGCATAGGATTACATATCTACTGGGTAAGGCTGGTGTTGCCAAAATTGTTGTTCCTTTTTTCAACCATAAGCTACTGACCCATGTTATTTAGATTCCCTTCTACTTGGTTTTAAGTGATTTAATTGAAAGATGTTATGTGAGTATTCTTTTGTAGGGCTCTTCACTGGCTGCACAATTGCACTTATTCTAGCCATTGTGTTGCTTATACATGCGAGAAATATCTTAAATCATGAAGGGAGAAATAAGTACATGGAAAATATTTTCCCACTTTACAGGTAAATTCTAGTTTCTTGAGTAACATTAATTTTGTGAGAGAGCCAAATCCATCTATAGATAAGGATTAATTAATGCAATCTCTTGCAGTTTGCTTGGGTTTATGGCATTGCATTTGATGATGTATGCTGGAAATCTTTACTTCTGGAAGCGTTATCATGTCAACTATTCATTTATCTTTGGCCTCAAGCAAGGCGACGAGTTAGGTTATAGAGAAGTACTTCTGCTCAGTTCAGGTCTTGCTGTGCTCACATTAGCTTGTGTCATATCAAATTTAGATATGGAGATGGATGAAAGAACACAAAGCTTTAAAGCCATAACTGAACTAGTCCCCTTGGCCTTGCTCCTTGTAGGTTTTCATGTGCACTCTCCCTAAGAATATATATACTCCATCTGCAAATTACCATGCTTTAAAGTAGACGAAGACATCAATTTGTTAACACATGGTGATTTTGTATTGTAGGTTGTGCTTCTTATAATCTTTTGTCCCTTCAACATCATATACCGCTCCAATCGGTTCTTCCTTCTCCAATGTATATTTCATTGTATTTGTGCACCCCTTTATAAGGTACGATAAGATAGAAGACTTTATACAGATTCAAAAAGTTTAATATGCTGAGATATTTAGTTGATGAGTAACATCTTCATCCTATGTAGGTCACTCTACCAGATTTCTTCCTTGGTGATCAACTCTGCAGCCAAGTAAGAATGCATTCTTTGTTAGCGTATTGATACATGACTAACTTTGAAAAATTTTTAATCAGTTATTCTGTAGAATCTGATTTATTTATTTTAACCATTCAACTCACAAGAACCATTTATTTAGACTTCTTTGATTATTGCTTTAGAATCAGAATAAGAACCAAGATGACACAGGTTTGACCTATCTTCTAGTTTAATCGTATTTTAATGTTAAAAACCAAGTTAGCCCTTTTGTATAAACTCTATTCAGAGAACTGCTTATATGAAATGTTGCTATATTCTTAAATAACAACTTCATTATGTTGCTTACAATGTTTTTGTCCTCTGTTTTTATGATTACTCATGTAGATCATGGTTTCTTCCAGGTGCAAGCTTTCAGAAGTTTGATATTCTATGTTTGTTATTATGGTTGGGGGGACTTCACAACAAGATCAAACAACTGTATAGGCAGCGAGGTCTACAGAAAATTTTTTCTTGTCATAGGACTCATTCCATATTGGTTTCGGTTTGCTCAGGTAATTGCATTGGTGAACTGGTGTAAACTTTTCTGAAATGAAAGTTTTGCTTCATTTAAATGTTTATTAAATTTATACCACATTCATATCCTATAAATTTAGAATTTAAACCAAAGTTAACGTGATTGATATTTCAGTGCTTACGACGTTTGATTGAAGAAAAAGATCCCATGCATTCGATTAATGGGTTGAAGTATCTATCAACCATCATCGCACTTGCCATGAGGACAACTTTTCAATTCAAGGGGAAACATTGGCTGTTCATGGCATCAACCACTTCAGCTATAGCAACAGTTTTCAACACATATTGGGACCTTGTTGTAGATTGGGGTCTCCTACGAAGAAATTCAAAAAACCCTTGGTTGAGAGATAAACTGCTCATACCAAACAGAAGTGTTTACTTCATTGCCATGGTAACAAGAAATATATATCCATATATACATATAGTGATTTGCTTACTATATAATATATGTGGTTTACTGATAAGTAATATTTTGGTTGAATCGCAGGTAGTGAATGTTGTGCTAAGACTGGCTTGGATGCAGACAGTGCTAGGAATTAGGGAAGCACCTTTCCTGCATAGAACAGCATTAACTGCATTAGTTGCCAGCTTAGAGATTTTTCGTCGTGGCATTTGGAATTTCTTCAGGTAATCTCTCTGCTTCTTTTTAAATAGAAACGAGAATACAATATAAATATGATTAAACTGAATGAAGAAAATAACCTAATCCAAAATTAATTTCACGTCTAATAATTCAAAATAAGTACCTTTATGATTTGATTTGTGAATGATGTGCAGGTTGGAGAATGAGCATCTAAACAATGTGGGAAAGTATCGAGCATTTAAGTCTGTGCCACTACCTTTTCATTATGCCTAATGGAGACGAGGCTGTAGGAAACAAGTACATGACACCAAATAGAATAGAGAAGATGATATATATATATATATATATATATATACATATATTTATCAATAACTGCTTACACACCAAGGTAGTTTTCGGTGTTCCTCATATATATGTATATATATATATGTACAGACAAAACTGCACAGAACAAAATACTTGTAAGACGGCAAACAGTAAAAAGTATTCTTGTAATTATTCATTGAAGAAAGTGAAATAAATTGTTTTAACCAAACTCTCTCTCTCTCTCTCTCTCTCTCTCTCTCTCTCTCTCTCTCTCTCTCTCTCTCTCTCTCATAACTTGGTGATAATTAACCATGAAAGGTATTGCTGAATGCTCAAATTACTCTTACGATTTTAACTTCATATTTTATACTGAAGTAATTTTATGTATTTTTGTAAGAAGGTTGCCATGTAAATGTTCCTAGTAAGATTGCTTAGAATTTTCAAGATTAACTTTATAGACAAACTTGATTTGGGTTCCATACTTCCTTCTCGAGTTTGTAGAGAAATTTGATTTGGGAATCATATTTTGTTCTCGAGTTGATAGAGAGAAACTTGCTTTGATTTCATACTTTGTAGATTATTTAATCTCTAATTATGAGACCAATTTAACTTAACCTGATTTAATTAGAAAACTAAAATGATTCTTTCTAGAACACCTGTACTCACAGCTAACAAAGGCAAGAGTTACATAACTCGATTTTGCTTCTCTCTCGTGTCTCTCTTTCTATATAGCATAATTTCTGTTGTCTTGCTCTGTGTATCTCTCCCGTATCATTGTTATCAGAGCTGGTTCACCCTTCATAGAAATTCTCAGTTCTCAAGAATCTAAAGAATGGAAAAAATCATACCAATTCTATGAGAGTCTAGGGAGTGATAGGGAAAGAAATATCACTAATACTGCTAGTTTTGCATGTTCAAGTTTTAATGAAAGATTAAAACATACCAAAATTTTGTTCTCTTCCTCCATAGAAAAATGTTATATAACTCAAATACTACTGTATCAAAACAATTACTGATTGAAAGAATTACATAATCTCTAATCCTAAGGGGCGTATAATGACTTTCTTTTTAATGTTGAGTTGTATACCCAAAATAGTATATAGATGGCAAGCTTCTATCATCTCTATAATTAATTGATCAAAATATTTGATTCAGTATTCATCTATTTTGACTCATTAACTTTGGTCTCTTCTTTTTGAATTATGTTTTTTTTAAATTTCTTAGCCTACACAGCCCTTGCTTTATAGCATTTTTATTTGTAAGTCAAAACTTCTCCAGACCAACTCAGCTTAAGCGAGTTGGTTTCATTCTCATTTCTTCCTTAAGAGGGTGAAGCTTTAAATCCAAAGAAATTCCCAGGACCAGCAAAAGAAGAAAAAGTCAGAATTTCCTCCTTCACCATCCTTTGGTAAGTCATGACTCTTCATTCTCCTTTTCATTATTATTAGGATTATCTTTTCTTTCTTTCACTAATATTAGTTAATTGAAAATGAATAAGAGAGTGGCATTTATATCCGAAAGAGGCTAGTCATGACAAAACCAATGCCATTTTCACACTCTAGCATCATAGTTTTAAAACAGACAACAAAACATATAGGTTCTCAGTCAAGAGAATGGATGACGAATTTATCTACAATAATTTGTTCTGATTTTACAACTCAAGCAAATTGCCAGATAAAACTCACCAGCTGGTCATAATATCGAACGAGCATCCTCCTGATCAGCCTCCTCCCCACCTTGCAACATGGCTGAAGAGTTTGAAGCAGAGTTTTCAGCTGTTAGAGTGCCAAAACTGTCATCATCCTGGTTCTTAATCAGGGATGAAAATGACAATGGATTGTTAGTGGAGCTCGCCTTCTGAAGACCTTGTATTGCTTTCATTGCAGCAAGAGTACCACGATATATATCCAGGGTTTCCTCACCAAGAGTTGACGACGTGTCTAATGAGATATTTGCTGTGTCATTCTGTGGTGGATTTGACTTGTCTTGCATAGGACTAGATTCAACTACTTCTGCTTCCAGTGGGAAAAGATGCTCGAGATTTGCCTCACACTCACGAACTAACCTTGTAAGAGGTTCTGTGGTAAAGAAAGGTTGATGAAGAGCAATCTGTGTAAAAGGCAAGCGCAACAAATCCCCAGTTCGTTTATCATACTTCTTCAAAATTTTAACCAGCCCTGTTGACACAGATATACAAATTCATTTAGAAGTTAACAATCCCATACTTGATGGAAAATAAAGACAAAACTAGTACACCTGAAAATTTTACGGGCATAGAAGCACCATCTCCCTATAAAAGTGAAAAATCGATAAGGCCCTCGCTAACCCAAGTTAGATGTAGAAGGAAAATACAAATAAAATAGCGGCATTACCTGCAAAGTTTAGTGAGCTATAATTTTTTAGAAGGACCATCTCCCCATGAATGGTAACAGAATCCTTCCGAATATCCATCATTTCTTCACTGAATTCACTCTCTGACAGAGAAATACTTGCTCTGCCACTCTTCTCTTTGGCTCGCTCAATTTTTTCCTTCAGCTCCTGTTGTAAATTGCACATATTTTACAATTAATTTTTTTCCTTCTAACACATAATAAAAGGCATTTAAAAGAATACTCACAAGAGCAGCAACCAATTTTCACAAAGAGGCATGTACAAGAAAAACACCCAATACATTTGATCATAACATAAGATAATCTTTGAGTGACTATAACCAAAGAAGTAATCAATAAGCATTCAACAAGTGCAGAGTAAAGAAATCAATAACAAGTTGGTACACGCAATTTGCAAAAGGTTTTCTATGCTAAACGTGATGCAATCTGTTTCTCTGACAAAAAAGTACCATATCATAAGTTTCTTAGAAAAAAATGCTACACGTTCTAACTCACAATAGAAAAGAGCTTAACTGACGGATAGGAAAAATTGCATTTGTTCACAAATTCTGCAAGTGGAGAGGATTTCTCAATTGCATCTTCTCAATGGCATTACAAAGTAGGCAGATATTTTTGATAACTAACATTTTCTTCACATTTGATCCTCAAAAAATTAAGATAAAATTCTCTTTAGATTTACGAAATCTTTGGAAACATTGCGTTTATGCTCTTGTAATCATCAATGTCTAGATGAATCCAGAATTCCAAAATCAACCTCCTGAATCCAAACTAATGTAATGAATGGAATACGAGTACAAATTATTGAATCACACTTTGTGCAACAAGAGTAGCATATGAAGAGCAAGAATAAGGAACTAGTTCAATCTATGCATCTAGTTCTCAACCGGAAAAAAAATATTGACTACCTTCTTTCTAGGTTAAACCCCTTATGAATATGTTTTCAGTAGCCCAAGTCACTTCTGATTTTCAAGCGATAGAATATCCGACAATACTTATCACTCTTTTTGAACTTACTTTGTAGACTAAATTAAAAACAAGTAAATTTATGAATCACTGTACACGAGATCAAAGAAAATCTCAATTCATTTTCACCATTCTTTCCCTAATGCACTCATTAACATCCTCAATTTGTTCAGACCCACTTCTCGAGTTGTTAAGCTTTCTATTCACTAACCATCCGTGCTATTATCTTTGGTAAATTTCAAATGGTTTTCCAATTAAGAAACATAGCTGAACAACGATTCTGTTCTTTTCTTTTTCTTTTCGATCTGATATAAGATAAAAGAAACCAAAATTCCTTATGTTGATCACTTTCATGTGGGTTTTCAATGGTAAAAATGGCTGAACAACTAGTTTGGTTTTTTTTTTTTAAAAAAAAAACAGAATTATAATTTGATAGAAGATAATGGAAACAGTAACGCTTTAATTGAACGCTTTAATTCAAATCCAACGTCCAACCCACATCTTAATTAACCCTGTAAAGAGCATTTACGAAGAAAAGCAAGAAATGTGAAACCCCCCGACCAGCATGAAGAATTTTTAGTGAAAACTTCAAAGAGATGATATAAACAACTAGAAGCTACCTAAAATGGTAATAATTAGCAATTAAAATCAAGAAGAACCTGTAAGCGGATAACGAACTCTTCCTCTTTATCAACGTAGAAATCATTGAACTTTTCAAGCTCTTCATTGAGAATCCTAACAAACCAATCTTGGAGGTCAACAGAGGGCCGGCTGCCGGCAATCCCTGGATCACGATGAGAATGAACGGCATCCTCGGGTTGAATTGGGGGAAAAGAAGGGTGGGGAGGGAGGGAACGGACGTTGATGGTGGCGGTGGGGAGGTTTTTGAGGAGCTTCTTGAGGAGCTTGTAGCAGAGGAACTTGTCCCTCCACTCCGGTAGGGTCTCCTCCAGGTGGGTCCTGAACTCCTTGCCGAATTTCATCCGTCTGATTTTCAAGATGATGATGATAATCAGGGTGGGATGGGTGTAAATATATAAAGATTGGGCTGTATACGAAGAGGGAATCTGAAAGGAGGTAAGGAGGAATCTGGCATCCGATGAAACTGACGTGCATTGTTAAGAGGAGGTGAACCAGTCAACTCCAATGATTGTATTGTCGTATTTTCTTGATTTTTATTTTTACAATGAAAATTGTATAATTTTATTTATTTATTTCTATAAATTCTCAGTAAATGCTGTATTTTTTTAAGCATTGTAGTTCTAATTTTAGAGTCTGTAAATTATTTATAATTTTCAATATATTGTTTTAAATTTATAATAATATATTTGATTGTATAAAACTGTAGTCACGTAATAGTAATGTCATGTTCACATAAAAATATTAGTGAATTGTTTGGTTTGACAAATTAGATCAGATCAAATGTAAGAAATTAATTTACTATAAGTATTGTTAAATAGATCAAAGTCATAATTCAAATATAAAATAAATATTTGTACTAGTGGGAATTTTTTAATATTTAAAAAAAAAAAATTAAGTCTTTAATCATTTAGGTAACATGTGCAAACAGTAATCACATATTAGAAACTATCTTTTCTAACTTGAGAGGTTAAGAACATGTTGTAATTTAAAAAAAGAAAAGAGGATGTTTAATTGCTTTAGGGGATGTACATCAATCCATGTTAATTTTTTTATTTTTATTTAAAAAAAAAAACTAAAATTAGGAGTAAACTGTACTTTTAAAACAAATAAAAATTGTGCACAAAATATTTGGATAACTGATTTTTGATAATTTGCTTTTTTTATATATATATATATATATATATATTTAATATTCTTAAATCTATTAATTCCAATTCGTATTGTTTAAAATAATAATAAAAATTCATGTATGGCCAAGTGATTTATTCTCTGTTGCTTCAGTTTTATCGTACATATATTTATTTGTTTCTAATTTAACTTGCTTGCTCAATCTTTCTTCTCTGTAATTATTTTGGAACTTTGTATAAATTAAAATAGACCAAAACCTCAAAATCAAAGGTGAGTTGATTAATTAAATGGATAATTTATAAGCGGGAATTTAAGGTAAGTTGATTAATTAAAAGTTTCAACTAGTTTATTCGGCTACTTCATTGTAGTTGAGAATGCTTCAATTGGATCAGACATGAAGATTTTTCAAAACTAACAGAAGCACCAATGAGAAGGTAAAAAAAAAAAGAAAAAAAAAAAAGATAGGTGACGTGCCCGTGCCCTTTATAAATTAAATAGCCTCCAGTGCCTGCAGGATATCAGCCTTCAAATCCTCAAATTCTTCTACTCCAAAGCTGAAACGAACCAAGTTATCCTTTATCCCATACTTCAGCCTCTCTGCTTGTTTAAGATCCCTGTTTCACAATAAAATAAAATGCCAAGTTACGTATTTTATCAATCAAAAGTCACTCATTTCTTTCCCCACTGACTCCTTCAAAAAAGCAGTAAAACATTATCAGTGTCTTGAACACTTAAGGACACACCAATAAGACATGATAGCTGGTTGATCCACAATGCTCTCACAGCCACCAAAAGATGGAGCAATGTAAGGTATCTTCAATGAATCAACGAACTTTATGGTTGTTGCCAAATCTCCATCCACCTGACAGGTTAGATTTTTAGCAAATCAAAGATATATTCATAAAGACATTAACTAACTCAAATTGTGAACTTAAAAAGAAAAAAAGCTTAGAAGTTTGATGGCTCAGTGATCCTCACCTCAAAACTGACAACACCACCAAAACCAGTCATCTGCCTCTTGGCAATATGATGTTCACGATGACTTGGCAAACCAGGGTAGTAGACACGTCTCACCTGCCAATATTATTCACATAAGTGTAGAGGAAACAAGAGTAGAGCTTAAAATTAGAAACCACTTAACACTTGCATATTTTTCCCATCATCAAGCAAGAATTTAAAATGGTTAGATGCTGGGTAGGTGCTACTACTTCAGAATTTCAGTTTGCATTAGTCAAATGAAAAGATAAAATTCCAAGACATTCAACCAAAGAAATTGAAGCAACAGACAGTAAAACAAGAGAATAACTCATTCCCAGAGACAATATCATTTTCTGCTTTAAGGGAAAAGAATGCCTTCCTTTAAAAGGGATCCAGGGCCCAGATATCAATAGATGCCCACACAAGTAGACAAATAGCTAATTTCAATATTGTAACAGCAGACCAAGTTGGCAACAGCAAATGCCCACACAAGTAGAAACATAATTGACTTCAATAGTGTGCCAGCAAGGCAGGTTGGCAACACTTGTCCAATTACATAATGGGAAGAATGCATCCACCAATAAGTTTTACTGAAACCATGCAAATGATGGAAACAATCAAACTGAAGCATGAATACAGCAATATAATTGAAACCGGTTGTGACTTAAGCACCACTTCCCCTAGATTCCATTGGATACAGAAGCCCTTTAGTTTGCTTAACAATCACAACCCCCTTTCTTAAGCATGCATTTGACAACAAACAGTCTTTTGAGTCAGAAATCCAGAAGCATGCTTTCCAAGCCACTATGATACTTCCCAGATCTGAGTACGACCATGTAGACCAGCATTTCAGTTCATGCATGAGAAACTGGTTATATACAATAACTAGACATATATACGTATGTATTATATGAAGATGCATATATTCTGTTTATTTGTTTGTGCATTTGTATAGCAAAAGGTATCTGTATACATACATACATACAGACAAGTATATGTACTTTTTTTGAAATTTTTTTATTTATGTATATACTTCCATTCACTTCAGTCCATTCAAGGGAGATCAAAAAAGAGATGATTTACTCCTGCTCTTTTTGGCTTGAAGTATCTCCAACATAATTTGGAACAATAAATGCTTTATACATGCATAACTTAGGTGAAATGTAAACAAAGTAGAAAATATACCTTAGGATGTGCCTCTAAAACTTCGGCCATCCTCAATGCTGTTTTGTTCTGTTGCTGTACACGAAGATGCAGTGTCTTCATGCCTCGAATTATCAGATACGCTGCATTCTGTTTCAGAAAGAAACCCATAGCAATTATTTACCAGCTCCAGTTGCATATAACTTGCCACAGAAATAAAATATTGAGAATTTTCAAGAAATATCGGGTCACTCATCAAAAGCATTAGGTATTAAACCATAAATTTTTGCACACAAAAATACATAATTTTTTCTTTAGTTAATTTATAAATGTATTTGAGATTGCGGGTTAGAAGACGTCAGAATTACTCACTGGATTGAGAGTACCCCCCAAGATATGATGCAAATTACGAACTTCTGAAACTAACTTCAGAGAACCACTAATGCATCCAGCAAGGACCTGTAACAGAAATTATGCGAGTTTAACGATGTAACTTATGAAAACCAACAGTCAGACATCATGCTCTGTTTCAATTTACTATATTTGCAAATGCAAGCTGACTCACATCATTGTGCCCTCCAATGAATTTTGTTGCAGAGTGAACAACAAGATCAGCACCATGCGCAAGGGCCTTTTGATTGAGAGGTGTTGCGAAGGTACCATCTATACAGACAAGTGCTCCTTTCTGGTGGCAGAGATCTGAAACTAACTTTATGTCAACGCATCTGAGGAATGGATTAGTAGGCGACTCGGTAAAGAAAAGAGAAACCTGCAGAAAATCAGATGCCAGTTAACTCATGTTGACATGTTTTTCAAAAAATAAAGTTTGTGATAAGTTAAGAACAGCATAACCACTGACTTTGTTCTTATTGAGAGCAGATTCAAGGCCTTCCATATCTGCAGGGTCAATGACAGTGGCCTGCATTTTCAACCATAAACACCACAACACAAACTCAGAACTACATGAAAAATAAAACTACCTGAGAAAATAGATAAATAAGATAAGCAAAGGAATACACCATAAATTACATAAGAAACTCTAGTACTCGGTAAAAATGAGTACAACAAAATGAGGAAGCTAGGGTTAGCATTGCGAAACCATAATTCCTTTTCCCCATGCCATAACCTTTCTACTTCTGTCTTTTGTTTGCCTTTATTGCTAATATACCATTTTCTAAAAAAAGATGGCCATAAACCAAAAATGAAGAAAAAAGATGGTAGTAAACTTTTACTTTCAAAGGAACTCAGCTTCATGCCCAGAACAAAATAAATAGAGGAGAAACAATAAAAGCAAAGTGATTGAATCAAATTAACCATAAAAGAAACCCTTTTCTGAAGGAGTGTAGTTCAGACTGACATTCTTAAGACAATCACCTGCACACAAAATAATCAGAAAAGAGCAGAGCATATACCGTGATTCCCATCTTGGGAAGAACTGTCTCAATGAATATCCTAGTCTTCCTGTAACAATCTGTAGTTGTCACAATATGCCCACCAGCTGGAACCAATGCCAACATCAGCACAGTACTAGCACACATTCCAGATGCCATGATCAACGTGGACTCAGCCCCCTCAAGAGCACTGGAAAAGAAAATGTCAACCATATGGAATCTGTAAACAGACAGGGACGCTAGTAGATAACCAAAGCAAAAATGAAGAACAATGAAGGAGAAACCTTATTTTCTCTTCGGCAACCACAGTGGTTGGGTTCCCATAACGCCCATACTCAAAACTGACATGGCGTTTCTCCTGTCAAATAGCATAAACAAATTAGTCGATTTAACAGACATCAGAAACAATCAAAGTGAGAAAGATAATATTGAAACATAATATCCAGGTATTAAACCAATAGACTCTGATGGTCACATCACATGGACATTGTATCATGAAGTAAATTATCCGAGAAGCACTTTATGTTCATGAGAAAGACCATAAAGCGACTACTTAAGTTCATAAATGCCCGAATCATAGGAAGAGTACCTTAAAATCGATAAGCTCAGCAGTCTTCTTAAAGAAGTAGGCAGACGTATTGACTACCGGGGTGGTAATTGCATCAGTAACTATACCGCGACCCAATCTTTCACCTGTACAAGACATTAAAAAAAGTAAACACTAGATTTTGAATATTAATTATGAAATTTTCTCAGATCAACACCCACCCGAAAAAAATGTGGAAAAATACGAAAATTATATATTAAAGAAAAACCTAACATTGAGCTCACTCAACCAAATCACATCCATACATTCTCCAAATTAATCTGAAAGTATATTAGTTAGCAGCCACAAAACCATTTCAATTCCTTTATGCATAAAGCAAGATCACGAATAGGTAAATGAAAACAGTCACAACACGAGAAGATGGAAAACAAAAAACGCAGAAACAAACAAGGGTTCTGGACGGATATACCAGCATGAACTGCGATGCTCCCATCAGAGATCCAAAACGGGGTTTTTGGATCGGACAAATCCCCTAACTGTACATTAACATTATCCTTAATACCCTCAATCACCGCTGCCTCATCGGTGGCTTTCAGCTCAACCGGCGGCGCGGGGACAGGGGTGGCAGCAGCGGCAGCCGCGGCGGAAGATGCAGCCGCGGCGGCAGCCGCCGGGGGCAATCCGGAAGCTGAGTTGTTAGACCAAGAAGCCGCCACCACTTGCGCGACGCCGATGTTGCTACAGTTACGGCGCGCCTTGGTGCTGAGCTGACGCACGAAATTGGGCGGGAATCTAAGGATTAGGGAGGAAATCCCGCCGTTGAGGGAGGCTGTAGGAATACAGAGGTGAGCGGGGTTACGGCGATGGTTGTAATCGGAACGTGGTGCACCGGAGAAGTCGGGATCGGCACGACATTCAAAAGAGGAAGAAGAGAGGAAGAACCTGGGAGAATGAGAAGAGGATACAGCCATTTTTGTTGCTTTCTTTCTCCTCTGTCGA